TTGCCCCCTCCCTGCCCCCCATACCATGCAGCCTCGGGAGGATGTGCCCACCCTTCATTCCCCTGCCTGCACCCCAAGTGGGAATGGGGCAGCACATCTGGCCGGGTCTGCCCCCGGGCTGGGGCCAGGGGAGTGGGGGAGCAACCCTGGCTCAAGTGCTCGGGCTGGGGGTATAACCGAGGCACAGCAAGTCCCCCCCCAACCCAGCTCGGGGCGAGGATGACACCCTCCAGTTCAGACTCCAGCCAGGGGAAATGGTGGAACTCAACATTCTCTGGCTCAGACACCCGCTACGAGGGGCAATGAGGGAGAGAAGGCCCCCCGGAGTGAGTCAGCCCCTCCCGGGGGCACAGAGCATCCCCCGGGGCACGGCACGKCTGAGAATGCCCAGTACGGCCCCGCCCGGGGGGCAACGGGGAGCATCCCCTTGAGAGGGGGCAGCAGAGCATCCCCCAGCGGGAGGCAAAAAAGGAAGAGCCCCCCGAGTCCAGCCCCACGCTGGGGCCGAGCATCCTCTCGGGGGCCAGCAGAGCATCCCCCGGGGGAGGTAATACAAGTAGAGCCCTCCGGGTCCGGCCCCACCTGAACATCCCCCGGGCGGCCCCACGGGCGTGACGGGGGCAGAGCTCCCCCCGGGCGGCCCCGCGCGGGGCCGAGCATCCCCCGTGGGCAGCGCAGCCCCGCCCGCACTCACCGCCCGCCGAAGTCGCTGGAAGCCGCCGCTGCCGCCGCTGCCGCCCCGCCCTGCCCCGCCCACTGCGTCACCGTCCCCGCCTGGTCACGCCCCCGGCCACGCCCCCGAGCGGCCACGCCCCCGGGTGGAGGGGAGTCGGGGGTGCGGGGGTCAGGGCGGCCCCGGGGGCCGGGAGTCCTCCGGGGAATAGGAACCTCCCTGGGGGCAGGATCCCCCTGGAAATGGGAGTAACCCCCTCTTCGGGGATAAAAGACTCTGAGGAGGGACAGGAATTCTCCCAGGGGAACTCTCCTGAGGGCAGGAACCTCATTGAGGGGCAGGCATTCCCCTGGGAGGACAGAAAACTCTGAGGTGGGGCACAAATCCCACTGTTGAAGCAGCAAACTCTCGGGGGGGAGCGGGGAGGAGGTTTAAAAGCTCCCATGGGGGCAGGACTCCCCAAGGGTCTTGTCCAGCCCTGGAGGGYGGGAGGCAGGAGCAGACCTGGACTGTGGGGTGCYCCAAGTTCTGAGTGCTCTGTTGCCCCCTCACCATGTGGGGAGCAGTGATGGGGCCAGGCAGTGATCCCCAGCCTCTGCCACAGCCCCCTCCTCACCCTGCAAGGCTCACCTCTGAGCCCTAATTCCAGGATGTGCGAGGTTGGACCACCACCCTGGACTCCCCTGAGGGATAGTCTTTGGCATCCTAAATGGGATTTGGGACAGAGGGTCCCAAATGAACTGCCACAGGAACAGCCAAAAGCCCAACCTGCTCCATCACCCTGCCCTGCACAGGGGCATCCTTAACAAACAATTAATTTAGAGGCCCTGGAAGCACAGGAGGCTGCCACTCCCCTGGCACAGCCATTGGGATCCCTCAGCAGCCCTCATCCAGCCCACCAACAAGGTGCTCCTCTCTGTGACCCTGCTGGGAATAACTGGGATTAGTGGCATCCTCACAGAGCAGCACCTTCCTCTCTCCAGCAAGGACCTTGAGCTCATCCTCAGGATTTTTGCAGGATGTCAGGGAGGTCTCACACAAATACCTCCTACCCACTGGAACAGGGTGTGTGCTGGATCCACCTGCCAGCCAGACTCGGGAACAACTGCCTTCAATCCCAAGAACATTTCATCTGTTTTCCACATGCCAGAGTATTCTAAGCCAAGACAATTTTAAAAATATACTGTGATATCGTTCTCAAATAACAATGATGAACACGATAACCTAAGGAAAACATTTTCAAGTAAAGAGGTGGGTGAAGCCAGCAGCATCAGGATCTGGTTTATTGACTGTCTTCCATACTAATTGGTGTCCATTGCCTTAAGAACAGATGGATTGGGGATATTGTTTCTGTCAAGGAATGGCTTTTCCTGCCTGGGATGATCAGTCGTTTTCTCAGTCAAACGTGTTCCTTGCTAACACTCCTTGTGTATTTAAGAAACACTGAGAGAGATGAGGTCAGGAAGGGAGCTTATGGACATGTCAGCTCCTGGCCATGTCTGGGAAGCAGAGGGAATGTGGATTTCTTGGATTTCTCCATATTCCATTCTTTATCCTGCTCTGAGGAGGCCCAAGAGCTGTCACCACAGCTGTGAAAGCATCTCACTGTGGTCCCAATTCTCTCCTGAGGTTTTGTAAGAAAGAGGCACAGGTGGGATTGCAGCACTCTGGGGTGTTTGGGAGAGCGGGACAGGTCTGGGCTCTTTGGTCATTGTGTAAATCCCAAAGGAGGGGAGCAGGATTCCACCAACCTCCCAGTCTGGCCATCCCAGGACTGAGCAGGACTCCCAGCTAGCTCCAGGCAGTGCCTGGAATCCCCGTGTGAGCAGGGCACATGCGCTCAGGGGGACACGGACCCCGAAATCACTGTCAGTCCGTGGGCTGCCGCTCCCTTTTGCTCTTTGCAGATCCTCTGGAATCAACTGCTCCCCCATAGGGTGGCACCACTCCTTTGGCAAGCTCTGAACACCCATTTCAGCCATAAAAAATAGCAAAAGGAGTTTCCAGCTGGTGGCCACCCCTTGCTGCTTGCACCACAGAGATGTGGGTGCCACTGGGAGCCCCTGCCGTGGGCTGTGCTTGGGCACTGCTCAGTGGTTGTCTCCTGGGAGTTCTCCAGATCCTCTGAAATCATTGGGATAAACCTCTCCAACACTGTCTTTTTAGTGTCAGTGACATTACTTTATCCTTGGCCAGGGTGTGTGTGTCCAACAAAGTTCCAGCCTCCATACAGACACAAATACAAAACTTTTTCACCTGTTTATACATTTTTAAAAAAAAAAAAAAAAAAACAACAAAAAAAAACCCCGAAAAAACCCAAACAAACCAAAAAACAAACAAACAAAATTAATGCTTATTTGTTCTAAAATTCTTTTTCATTAATTACTATTCCATCTTCTATTGGTTATTGATTTCTCCCTTCCTATGTTAATTAGTCCATCCTTTTAGTAGCTTTGAAAAGTACAGACTTTCAACACATGGACAGAGTCTTTGTTTGCCTCTTCTTTATGTTCTGGTTTTTGAAAAATGTCCTTGTGATCCATAAATTCTACATTCCAGATGTCCAGTCTCACTGAAGAATACATCCTTCTCTCACAGGCTTTGTCCATTGAAGCATATGAGATTCAGTTCATCAAAACTTCAAGTTTCAGTACTTTTCCCRAGCTGTGTTCCTATGAATGTGGCTCATGACAACTTTGCTAAATACTGGCAAAGAGTAATTTAAGAATAACACACTAATTGTAATTTATATATATAGGTTATGATTAATTAAAACAATTAATTTAAAAGTTAATTAGAACCATTAAYTAAAATTATTATTTTTAAAGTTCTCTTGTTTCCAACAGGGAAGTGTGTCAGTTGGGGCAATTATCTCAGAGTTCCTCCTTACTGGGAGCACTGGGGAGGCCCACAGTCACCCCAGACCCTTTTTACTGGAGCAATTGCCTCAGTGACCGTCAGTACTGGGAGGATGGGGGGAATCCCCTCAGAACCCCTCCTTACTGGCATGACTGGGAAGGGCAATTATCTCAGAGCCCCTCATTACTGGCAGGACTGGAGAGCAAAGCGGGGGCACAGTTACCTCAAGGGCCCTTGTTACTGGGAGGACTGGGGGACAATTCCCTCAGAGGTCCTTGGTCCTGGGAGAATGGGGGACCCACTTGCTCAGAGGCCCTTGTTAATGGGAGCACTGGGGAGTCAGCATCCCTAGAGGCCTTTGTGATGGGAGGACCTGGAGGGACATTCACCTCAGTGACTCTTAGCACTGGGGGGAAACCCCTCAGGTCCCCTATTGCTGGGAGGACTGGGGGAAGGGAATCCCCTCACTACTGGGGATTCTCTCAAGAACCCTGGTTATGGGGAGGRGGCAGTTACCTCAAAGACCCTCTGTACTGCGGGCAATCCCTTCAGGACCGCTATTTCTGGGAGGACTGGGGCAGGAGGAAAGCCCCTCAGGGCTCCCGTTAATGGGAGAACTGGGAGYGGGCAATCCCTCAAACACCCTCATTACGGGGAGAGGGAAATTACCTCACAGATCTTCATTACTGAAAGGAATGAGAGGGACATGTCTTCACAAAGAAACTGTGGTGTCTACTGGTAGGTAAGGCCAGATGCTGACAGGTGAAAGTAGCAAGGGGAGGAACGATAAATTCCATAGGAATTCCACCCATTGACACAGACTGTTATTGACCAAGGCCGTGCTAAATCCCTGGACTCAGAGAAAAAGAACAGAGACACAAAGAATAAAGGGGGAGGAGAATGCACATTAGATGGGGTCTGAATTAGGAGATTTGGGGAGTCTATACCTCTCAAGTACCTCAACCAATGGGAAAGAGAGGGAAATGCGGCCGGGAAATTGGGATAAAAAGGAGGCTGCCTCCTCCAGCAATTTGAGAAACCCCACGGAAATGCCCCATGGCCTTTCCCTTTATTCGAATAAAGTTACATGACTCCTCGGCCTCCTTTTTGGAAATAAACCTCTGATATTTGTGGATGAATTTTCCTCACATTACTGGGGGGGATCTCCTCAGTGGTCCCCGTTACTGGGAAGACTGGGGGGGAGGGGGGGGGGGAATCTCCTGGGGGGGGGGAAGAACCCCCTCAGGGACCCTCAGTACTGGGAGGACTGGGGGGGATCTCCTCAGGGACCCTCAGTACTCTGAGTAAGGGGGATCCCCTCATGTACGCCCGTTACCGGGAACACTGCGGGGGATATTCCCTCAGCCCGGGGAGGACGGCGACGTTCTGTCACAGTCACAGCCCTGCCCAGGTGACGTCAGAGCGGCGCGCGGTGTCGCGGGGGTGACGCGCGCGGGGCGGGCGCTGTGGCGCTGTCCCCGCTGTCCCCGCGGGGCCCGGCCGGACATGGCCCCGCGCGGCCGCCCCGCCGCCGCCGCCGCCGCCATGCCCCGCAGGGGCGCCCGCAAACGCCTCAAGTTCCGCGCCGACGACGTGTGCTCCGAGCGGGGTGAGAGCCGGGCCGGGACTCCGGGGCCGRATCTGGGCCGCGGCTGAGGGAGGCCGAGGCTGATGAGGGGAGCGCGGCCTGATGAGGGGAGAGGGACCTGAGTGTACTCGGGCATGAGGGAAGCCGGGCCAAGCTCAGCCCTACTGGTGCAGGCCAAAGAGGAGACTTGGGCCTGCATTAGGGCCTGAGGGAGGAGGTGGTTGAAGGGCCTGGGCCTGGCCTGAGTGGAGGGGATGAGGGGAAGAAAGTCGGTTCAGTCTCACCCAGGTATGAGCTCGACCCTTTCGGGTTTGTGCAGGCAGACACCTGCGTGTAGGAGGGATCCTCCTGCAGGGATCTGGACAGATGTGTGGGAATGAGACCTCTTTGCCTGTGGAGGAGGAGCCTGTGGCCAGAGAATCAGCCAGRCTCGAATTGGGCTGTGTGAGGGGGAATGGGATTAACACTGGCTGAAGTAGTGGGAGAGGGAGAATTGCACAGGGCTGGGCAGTATGGTGGGTCCCCTCAGCCTGGTACACAGTCTGGGATAGAGACTTGCTGGGGACTCCTGGCCTGCACCTCTCTGCTGAGGCTCACTTTCCTGCTTGTGCATCTCTTACTCGAGCCTCTGCTCCTCTGGGGATTGTTCCCTTCAGACTTCATGCCCTCTTAGCTCTTCTGTCCCCTCCCCCATAATCTCTAATCCCTCTGACCCCTGTTTTCCCCTCTGCAGTGACGGTGGCAGATTATGCCAACTCAGACCCAGCTGTCGTGAAGTCTGGACGGGTGAAGAAAGCTGTGGCCAATGCAGTGCAGCAGGAAGGTGAGTCTGTCCTGGGGCCCCTGTCTTCTCCATGCTGCCTTAATGTTTTACTGGCCTCTGCRTGACGTGGGAAACTTCTCTTCCTTAAACCTGAGAAGGTGTGTGTGTTTTAGTGCTGAAAATGAGCCTGTGCTGCTCTGCAGAATCAGATGTTAAGGGCTTAGACAGGAGGTTTTGCAGAAAGCCTGCTGCAAGTCCAGTAAGAATTGCTGAGTCTTTGTTAGTGCCTGAAATAGAAAGGCTTGGGTGCCTGCTTGAAGCAGAAAACAACATGATAAAAATATTTATTAGTTTATTACTTTATTACCTCATATGAAACTGTAGATAGCTTTATTAGCAATTAAAGTTCTTTGCATCAGGAATAAAGTTGTGATAATTCTGTCAGTCATGTGCTACAAGGAGGTCTGGGCAAATTTTGTAAACAAGTAGTTTCCTGGAAAGGTATTGCAGTATTTTGTTATCTACTTCCTCCTCATCTGGGAGCTAACACACCGCACTTGCTTGAGAAATTTTGTTGTTTAGGCCTTTAAGTGTAGCTGGTCACATCTGTTGGAGGTGGACGTTGCATTGACAGTGAACTCTCCGTAAAGGRAAACTCTTGGTTTGCTGCTGAAATCTTATGTGGTTGAAGAAAATATACTTTTGGCCTGAGTACCTGTCGGGGCAGTGGTGCTTGGGAGCATCCTCTTCAGCTGCTCCTTCTCAGCTTTTAAGATCAGAGCACCTCCATCATGCGTTGCCTCCTTTGTTTGGGGCTTCCCTCCTCCCATTCCTGCTCCTGCTTACCCTTCTGTGTTCTGTCTCCTTGAGACAAAGTCCTGCAATTCAGCATCATGCTGGCAAACTGCTGGACTTCTGTGTTCCCTGCCTCCAGCATCACCTGCTTTATCCCCGTTCCTGCTGTGTTTCTGGCTCATCTCCACATCATCCTGGTGATTCCAGGTCACATCAGTTCCCTGCCCATCCCTCTCCCAGGTCTTTGCAGTGCAGTCTCAGGGGGAGGGGAACCCCTCCTGGATAGGGGAATCCTCAGGATCTCTCCTCCCCAGCCCCAGGGCTGTGCTCCAGCTTTATCTGGTGTAGACATGACTGTGCTGCAGTCTTATCTGTCCCAGCCTTATCTGTGYGGCATGGGGTGCCATGTGCCACGCGTGGGACAGGAGCCTCTGCCCCAGCTCCAGCCTTTGGCCTCCCTGCCCTCCTGGAGCTTGGCTCAGAGTACACCCCGTCCTGGGTGTGACTGCAGCGGACAGGGAGCTTCACCAGAAGGGGAGCCAGGGCCAGGGGGAATTTTCGTGGGCTTTTTTCCTGCCCATTCTGACCCCCAGGGTGGGAGGATTACAGCAGTGAGATGAAGAGGGGATGCCTCTGCAGGATTGCAATGCAGCCATTCACTGTTCAGTGGACTTGTGTTGTTRACTCAGTCTGATTTTTCCTTTGCAGGGTGAGGCAGGCTCTTCTGAACCTCTGAGTCTCTCTCAGTTTTGTCCTCTCTTGACTTTATTTGATGTCATAACTCACTGCCATTTGTGTTACCTCCTATTTCACTCTCTTTTTGCCTATAAAAGGTCATGTGGGGAAGGCATTATGATTTGGCAGTGGGGGAAACCACTGCCATTAATGTATCCAGGTGCCTTGAATGCATCCAGGTGCCAGGAAAACATCCAGTTTACCAAACAAACCATGCAAAGCAAGGTAGAACTGGTTTAGCAAAGCACTAAAGTCAGTGGGTACAGTCAAGCTCTGTCTGAAAACTGTCTTTCTATCTGCTGTCTTTTCATTTTAAAACCTTGTTTGGTGATTAGAAATAAGAATATCTTTCACCTGAGTTTATTTATGTTCAGTTTCTTGTTTTGTTGTCATTATTTGTTTTTCTGCTACTCTGTCCCTGTGATTYAAATAGCACACTTTGCACTTCAGTGGTTCTGGTGACTGCAGTGACTGAAACTGGGATATATAAAATCTTGCTGGGCTTTGGTTTGTGCTGGGCAGAAGAGCTTGAGCACTGTAAGCCTCCTCTGAACCTCATGGTCATGTTCTGTTCTTCACCCAGCAGGTGGGGTTGAAATTCAGCTCTTGAATTAATTTCACAGTCTGTTTTCAAAGCCTTTGTGCAGCTGTGACGGTGCTGGTCTCTGTGACAGTGCCTCACACAGCTGTAATGTAGGACCACACCTTTCTTTTACCGTGACTGTCATTACTGACTCACATGTGGATTTTTCTGCCCTAACGAGCCCTCAGTTTACAGGTCAAGTTTTAAAAATAATATTTCTGAACAGGAATATGTCTAAACATGTCCCCAGAGGCAGGAAAAAAACAACCCCGGACTCCAGCTGACTCAACTTGCTATCTTCCTTGTTAGGCTAGAGTCTTTCCTTTCATTAAACTTCAGAGTAAGTGGAGCTCCTGTGTGCTTGACACTGAGTTCCATCCCTGGCGGATTATGTCATCAGCCCCAGAATGTTTGTCCTGATGGGAAGGGAGTAAGTCTTCTCCATGCTCATAAAACCATTCCAGGGCAGGTGCTGGCTTCAGGCTGAATGTGGCTGTGCAAGGTAGCTCTGCTGTGCAGGGAAACCAGTTACCTCTTAGAAAGAGCCTGTTGTTTTATTTGGTACTAAATAGCTTTGGCTAAACCAGTAGGATCTGCATAATGTGCTGGTAATCATCCTCATTGTYCGTTCTTTAAAACAAGCAGCTGAATAATTATGTTTCCAATTCACTCACCCCTGCTAATCTTTCCCTGACAAGGTAATCCATAAGCTCAGGATTTACTTGCTTGTGTCAATCACCAGAAAGCTTTAAGGCGCTGGTTCCACTGAAGCATCTCCTGAACTTGGTTCGCCTTTTCCTCTTGGCTGTCGTACTTACTGTGTCCTTTGTCATTGCAGTAAAATCCCTGTGTGGTTTGGAAGCTTCCTGTGTCCCTGCTGAGGAAGTTCTCTCCATGTCGGGAGAGTCCTGTGACAGCAGCGATGAGATGGATACCAAGGAGAGCATCAATGGGAGGGCTGCCTCGAGGAAAAAGAAGAGCAAAAGGCACAAAGGTGTGGTCACCTGCCCTCCTGGGGCTCTGTGGGCTCCTGCTGCATTTCCTGCGTGGGGAATGCTCATACTGGATGGTCACGGAGGCTCTTGGGGCATTCTGGAACTTGTGTGTGCACAAAGAAATGCCAAGTATTTAGTCATTTGTAAATCTGCTGGCAGTTGGTCACAGGAGCTGTATTTGCACAAGGGTAGAGCCTGGGACACGAAATCAAATCCTGACAGCTCCTTGCTTTTAGCAAATATCCCTGAACCTTGGAAAACAARCACTGCTATTCTAAAGAGTTATGAAACTCTGCCACTGGCCATGTTGCTTCACTGATTGAGGGGTGGTGGCAACAGGCTTGCTTTGGGGTTGAAGTGCTGTGTCCATGATGCAGTTGTTGGCAAAACAGAAGCTCTATTTTCAGGGTGTTTCCAAGGCTGTGGTTTGTTACAAATGCGTTTAGAGGGCTCTTTTCTCAGCAAGGAAGAACATTTGATCCTTGTGGCATCATAATACCTTAATTCCAGGGAGATGTATCCTTCAGCATTTACACTTTGTGCAACTCCATAGAAATCCATTGGCAACACAGTGTAAGCAGCAAACAGCTCTGCTGCACCGTGGAACCCTGCAGAATTTTCYAGTAACAGGTTGTTTTCAGGTTGGGAAGCAAATTATAAACAATTTTCTTGAGTTTAGTACTGATTTATGTAGCATGTGATCATCCACCACAGACTGAAGGTGTACAGCACTCCTCTGGGAAGGGAGTTAAAAGAGTTTAACCTCTTTTATTAAGGCATCCTTTAGAATCCAGACAAAGTAATATCTGAGTGGCTGGAGTTATGAGTCTGGGAAGACAATATTCTGTTCTACCACAGCCTTGTCTTATTTCAGCTACATTCTTAAGGAGGAAAATCAGTGTTAGAATAGTGACATTTCTATCTGCCCTATGATTTGAGCAGTGTGGAGTTTATAGCTTCTTGAGCTAGAGCTGACCCAGCAGGGAGGGTGTAGCAGCCCGTTGTGTGCCTGCCAAAAATCTGAAGGGCTGTGGGRAAGTGATCACATCCAGAGCTTTCTTTGGCAATTATCACTTGAGGATAAAGAAAGCCCTTTGTATTCACCTACTGTCTCTGGGTTAAATCTGGTACCCTTAAGTTATCAACACCTCTTCTATGCCACAGACCTCACAGCAGCTTTTCCTGATAGCACTGTGCTCAAGTTGTGTTTTCCTTCTCTTTTCTTAACCTTCCTAATGCTCAGTATTGTTCACCTATTTATATTCTTTTACAGTATTTTTTACTCATAAAGTTGGAGCATGTCTTTGGAAAAATATAGTAAACTACAGAACACTGCAGGAATGAARGGAGTGTCTGAGCCCTCCGTTCTGGCTGAGCGGTTCTGACACTTCTGAGAGGAAGAACAGGCCATTTTCTCTATCTGAATTGCATTAGAAGTTTCCCTCCAAAAAGTGTTAATGAAATTAGAGATTTAAGAAAAGCAGGTGGTTGCCAGYTGTAGAACAGAATTGCTTTCCCTCCCTGACAGAGGTCCTGCAAAAATACTGTGATCATTGGAACAAAGAATTGACAAGCCTGGCAGTGTCACTGCTCAGGGACTTCTAGTGTGAAGCAATATTAGTGACCTGTCAAATATGCACATCTGATTAAAAATGCAGGAGCTTAGCCCTTTTTACATAAAGTTGCCTCTTCATTTGCCATCCAATTTTTATTTCTCAACTTGAGTGTGATACTTCTGCTGTGAAAGGGTCAGGCATCAAAACGGGGTCCAGAAAGGCTTTGTGGTTTCCATCCTTGCGCATYGAACTTGCTTGGACAAGATGCTGAGAAAAATGACCTAATTCTGCCTGCTGTGAGCTGGGCTCCTGGATTAGAAACCTCCAGAGAACCCTTTCAGCCTAAATTCTTTGTGAATCTGCCACTTTGCACACTTGTGCAGCTGGGATAACTGTGGCAGGTGTCCAGCACAGGGGAGGTGTTTTGACCGTGTGGACGCTGATGGGAATGGGGAGCAGGCACGCTGAGGTTGTGCAGACCGGGCCTTGGGCTGACTCTATGTGTGTAAATCAGCTGCCCCCCTGTGCTGCCACGAGTGCAGCACGTGTCTCAAGGTGGGACTTGGTGGAGATGTGATGTCTTGCACTAACACACCCTCACTGCCTTTAGAAGATGCCGAAGGGGGAGGAGGAGAGGAATATCCCATCGATATCTGGCTGCTCCTGGCTTCCTACATCCGCCCCGAAGACATCGTCCGGTTCTCTCTGATCTGCAAGAAAGCCTGGACTGTCACTTGCACTGCTGCCTTTTGGACCAGGCTCTACAGAAGGTGAGACTCTAAAGGGTCTTTAAACTGGTTTTTGGAAGTTTCAGTAGTAAGCAGTTCTCTGCAGAGCTGAAATAAGGCAGTAATTCCCTGTAGGCGCAGGTTCTCTGTTTGCACGTTGATGTGGTGATGTGGGCCTCACTTGGCAAGGGATTGCAGAATAATCTTCTCACAAAGACAAGCTGGGAGAACTGGGGATGTTTAGCCTGGAGAAGAGAAGGCTTGGGGAAGCCCTTCCTGTGGCCTTCCGGTACCTTAAAGTGGCTTATAAACGGGAGACAGAGGGACTTTTTATATGGGTAGGTGGTGACAGAGYAAAGGGCAATGGTTTTAAACTGACAAAGGGCAGGGTTAAATTGGATGTTAAAAAGAAATTCTTGGCTGTGAAGGTAGTGAGGTCCTGGCACAGATTGCCAAGAGAGGCTGGGGCTGCCCTAAAGCTGGAAGTGTCCAAGGCCAGGTTGGACAGGGCTTGGAGCAGCCTGGGATAGTGGAAGGTGTCCCTGCCTATGGCAGGGGGTGGAATGAGACTAGCTTTGAGGACCCTTCCAACCCAAGCCATGCTGTGATTCCAATATCACATTTGCTTTGTATCTGAAAATGTATTTTTGTGGTGTATTTTTATAKAAAATCTCAGAGCACTGTGTTTTTTTCTGCTCGCCATGCCCCAACACTTTGTGTGTCAACCTCTCCAAGTGCTTATGGCAGAAGGTAATTTCAGTGCTGTTACTTTGCTGAAAGGCAAACATCACTGAGGGACAACTTGCCCTGCCTTGAGCTCTGATGACAGCCACCTCCCTGTAATGGGGGCTTTTTGGAGCTGTACAATGGCAGGAGTAAGTGAAAGCAAGGAGGGCAGCCTTGGACATCCTCACCCCTGATTTTTAGTGTGACATTCCTTAGCAAAGGCTCCTTTGGGATGTGATCAAGGAAAGGCCCTCAAGCACAGGCATTCAGGCTGCTCAGGCAGTGCTGAGAGCTCCAGTGAGCTCAGCTGAGAGCCCTGGAAACCTGCAGCAACCTACAGGCTATTGTGCAGCCTGCAGCTACATCGCAGTCTGGTCTCTGGGCAAACTAGGAATTGTTGGGAATTGTAGCAGGATGTGTATGCTGGAAGCCTGCCTGGGGCAGGTCAGGCCTTTGAGACTGCCACGTGATGTCCTGTCAGTAGCAAAAGCCCCTTGCAGCCCTTAGGTTGACCAGGTTCCTACACTCAGTCAGAAGTTGAGTTTTCCCCTGACATGTATCTGTTCCTGGCTGTCCCTGCCACGCCTGGCTGTGCCCTGGAGCTGACAGCATTCTTGTTGGTTTTCCAGGCACTACAGCCTGGATGCGTACTTGCCCCTGCGCCTGCGCCCGGAGTCCATGGAGAAGCTGCACTGCCTGCGCGCCTGTGTCATCCGTTCCCTGTTCCACATGTACGAGCCCTTCGCCGCGCGCCTCTCCAGGAACCCCGCCATCCCAGACAGTACTCCCAGCACTTTAAAAAATTCCAGAGTAAGTAGCATCACTCAGAAATTGGGATTTTTCTGAGGTGTTGCTGTTTCTCTTGGGTTTGTTTCTTTCTTTCCAGAAGGAAAACAGATGATGTGGAGATGGTCGCCAGTGAAGCTGGGGTGTGGGATGGTCACTAACTAGGTATTCCTAGTTGGATTTGTAAAAGTGTGCTGGTTGCTTGTGTCTGTAGAGTTACTCTTTGGAGTAACTTTTTCCTAAGTCCTACACAATACCTTTSTAACCAGCAAAACGGCCGTGGTTTCACTGGGTGTCAGAACTTCCAGGTATGTTTGCAGCTCTCCCCTCCTCTGGATGAGGCTCCATAGGATCAGCTTTTGTATTGTCTGCTTTATTCTTACACTGTCTGCCAGAGTACATCTCCCTGTAACAGGGCTCTGGAGAGCTCAGGAGTGACATTGATGCTAGGAGTTGTGTCACCCTGCTTTCCTGCMGGTCATTCATGGTCTGGTATCTGGAAGAGGTGAGGTGGTTGTGAAGGGCTGAGCATGACAAATGTGCAGAGCCAGTGTCTGCTTAGGGACTGAACTGCCCTTGTGTTGGACTGTGAAGGGTTTGTCTGTGGTRTTGGCAGGCAATTTCCATGCTCTCCCAGCTTAGAGCTCTTGCATATCATTCCTCTTTAATTGCTGTTGACCATTAACACTGAAATGCCTCTGTGTCTCGTGTTTGGTTTTAACTTKCAACTGGCTGATACTTTCTGAGCAGCTTAAGCAACAATGTGAATTCTCCACCATCCAAATCCAAGGTCAAAAACCTGTTGAATGAGGTTTTTGGAGCCAGACTGAAGTGCGTTTGGTTCAGGAGTGGTACTTTCTTTTCTGTTGAAAATAGAGGAAACTCATCTGTTTGTGACATCCCCCATTTCTTCCTTCCTCTCCCTGTCACAGTCTGTCACAGGCTCAGGGAGCATCCAGCAGCACTCAGGAGGTGGTGCTGCTGGACAGGGAAAAGCACATGGCTCTGTGTGTGGTCTTATCTCTGCATCCAGAGCTCCTCATTCTCTTCCTGAATCCCCAGGCTGGGGATCTTCTTACCAACTGTAAAAGCAAGACATTTTGAGGAAATTCCAGTTTAACTGTAGTCCTGAGCCCAAGCTGCCCCTTTGTGTGACTGTAGGAGCTGGAACCCTGAGACTGTGCTGTCAGGGTTGCCATTTCAGGAGGATTCCTGGTGACATCATAACGGCTTTGGTGCCCACTGCTAGTGCTTCTCCTGTACTAAGAGTTGGAGGAGGATCCTGTAAGTGCAGTCTTTCATTGTTCAGCTTTTTAAAAAGGAAATTAAATGGGGACGAGGCTTTGTCAGAGCAGTAGCGGTTTGACCTAACACCTTGCAGCATAAAAGAGCCACCCTGAGTCTGGTCTTGCTGTACTACTGCACTGCAGGCTCTGAGCTCCACCTGTGTGACTGTGCACAGAAATTCTTTGGCACAGAGGGTTTGGAGGAGAACCTGACACTGCCTCCCCATGTTTTGACTTTCCTGGGCTTTGGTTGTGCCTTTGTGGGTTGCTGACACTAATGGCAACGCCTATCTAAACTGCATGTGGCTAGAGGAGAGCCCAGCCCCGGGTATGATCCAACCTAGCTTTTCCTCTTTAATTTCCTTTTTTCTTTCCCTAGCCTAGCTTGTGTGGGACACTGGAGCCGTTATGGTGTCAGCAGAGGTGTTTGCCCTTTAAAGACACCCCATTATTTTGGGCGGAGCGGCAGCCGCACGGCGAGTCTGAAGGGCAGGACGGCTGACCCGAGGACGACATCCTCTGCCCCTTAGGAGGTACTGACCTTTTGTGCTTCACTACTTGCCATAGCCAAACAGGTTTCTAGGATAGGCAGTCTCTGCAGGTGAACTACAAATGCCACTGCTGGTGGAGTTAAACTCAGCAGCATCCACTGCTTACCTGGGTTAAAAAAGATCTGGAGAATGTTTTTATTGGATAAAACCTGAGGACTTCTTCCCCTCAGGTGGAGGTTACTCCATGCATGTTTCTGAGCTTGACTCCACAGAGCTTTGTTGTTCACATCATGAAGATTGTGGAGATAAGGGTCCTTTAAGGACTCTTGTTTATGGACATGACTCAGAGTTGAAGCAGAGGGTCTTGTATTCCCTTTAGTCTCAATTTCAGAGCCCCTGTGATGGAGGCTGGCTCTAGCTTTGTTTTACTGGGATCACTTCATCCTGGAGTGAAGTTAAATGTGTGCTTTGCCCTCTCCCTTCAGGAGAGACTCTGTATGGATCATAGAGAGTTTTCTTCACCCACATTTTTCCTCCTTTTCCTGCTGATAACRGTGAAATATAAGACCAGCTGTGGTAGGCTGGCATCGTGGTGTGGGAATTCTTTGAGGGATGGCTGGATTGACTTGCCAGGTTCTTTCCTTGGCGATTGAAGGCTGGTTGCCTGTACTGACTGGTAGGCAGGGATTTCCCTCCTACAGGAGTTCTGCTGAGCCTCCTGCTCCAGAATGAGCTGCTGGGGTGGAGCCTGTAGCCCACACAGTGATAACCGGCTGAAATTGGAGCAGTCCTGGTGTCTGTCTGCGTGGGAGGGCTGTGCTGGTGGCCTCTGAGGCTGTTGGAGGCCGATTTCTCATTTTCTTTTGAAAAGGGGCAGGAGGTTGGTCAGTGTGCTGTCCTAGCTGGGGTTTTGGACTCTGAATAATGACAGTCAGTGCTGGTAATGTCAAGGTCAAGGTCTCCATTTGACACCACCGTGGCTTGGGAACTTCCTTATCCATCACCTCATAGTTCATATACTGGTCTTTGCATTTCCCTCTGGATCTTTCCCTTCTTGATCCTTATTCTGTTCGCTGTTGTCCCTCACTTTAGCCTGGYTTGGAGCCCAGTTTAATGGGAATTGCTGGTGGGTGGAAGGAATGGGAGAATCAGCAGCACTCATCCCTGCCCTAGAAAAGGGGCAAATGGAACAACAGGATTTTTCTGTTTGGTGCATCAGTGGCTATATGTGGTATTCTCCAGTAACATGAGGAGTTGGCAAACTTGAAACTGGGAGATCTACACTGCTGAGAGGGTTCTTTAAACATAATTAGTTTGAATAAATGGCTCATAATTGCACCTATGTAATTGTGTTTGCAATTGGAAGCTTTTATGATCTGTTAAAACTTATTTAAAGTGTTGCTTCTAAGGGTTTCATAATTTTGTTTCTTTCTTCCACCTCAGTGTCTGCTTTTCTGGTGCAAAAAGATTRTAGGGAACAGACAAGAAGCAATGTGGGAATTCAACTTCAAGTTTAAAAAGCAGGTATGAAAGARGAACCAGATCAGCTATGACTTTTGTTTGAAGCAGAAATTATTTTTCTGGGGGTTAGAAGGGAAGTCAGAAACTTTTTGTGTATTCAGACAGTAAATGCAATCTGATTCCCATGGTAAACTAAAGCACATTCTGGAACTACACTCAGTTTTCAGTCTGTGTTACCAAGATATTTAGAATCCCACATTTTTATTTCTTCCTTTGGTGTCCTTTCCCTGCTGTAAGATGTGGATCATTTACTGCAATTAATCTCACTTTTTGCTGATTGCTGCCAAAACCCAGACTATCTGACTGCAGTAGTCAACATATTGACCAAAATCTGCAACTTCTTGTTTCACCATTGCCAAGATTTCTCTGAGAAGTGAAGACAGCCAGCGCTGCCAGGGAAAGCTCCAGTACTGGATCTGGGGAGAAGCCAGTAATTTCAGGCAACCTGGGGAATTGTGCAGGTTTCCCCTCTAAAGATAAATGGTCCTGCAAAATGCCCATCCTGAATGATGAGATTTGTTGTTAATGTGCCACTTTGCCCAGACACATGGGGAGGAGGAGAGACCCTGCCAGGGGGCACTGGGGAGGAGCAGCCCAACCCAGCAGAGGTTCCTGCTTTGCTTCATTAGCTCTCTTTCTTTCAAGTCCCCCAGATTTAAGAGCAAGTGTTGTAAAGGTCTCCAGCCCCCAATCCAGTATGAGGAAGTGCACACAAACCCGGATCAGGATTGCTGCCTGCTGCAGATCACCACCTTCAACTTCATCTTCGTGCCAATCGTCATGGGCATGACCTTCACCTTGGTGAGTGGGGGGAAAGCTGCCAGGCTTTGCAGGTGAGGTTCCTGAAGGGAACCTGAAGAGGGCGTCTGGAATCATGGTTGGAAGAAACCCACAGGGATCATGGAGCCCACAGGGAATATTGAGCCCAGTTCCTGGCCCTGCGCAGGGCAACCCCAAGAATCCTACCCAGTTCCTCTTTGGGACTGTGTGAATCCCACTGCTCTACAGCAAACCAGTTCTGGGAATCTTATGGTTAATGAAGAGAGGAAATGTTCAGCATCTCAGTTTAACTTCTCCATTTCCTTCAGCTCTTCCCTGTTTGGTGCAGTAAACAGAGAGGATGTAGAGAATGTGCCGGGAGCTGTGGTGGTGCAGTGTCTRGGGGCAGGTCAGTTACCAGAATTACAGCAGGTACAGGAGACAGGGAGCAGCACAAGTGGAGGTCTACCCCTCTGTGGAAAATACCTCTTTATAACAATAAATTCTGAGAGGAAAATCCCACATGAACAAACTCACTGAATGTGTGTTTGGTCCATGATTGGGAGGAAGAGCAGCTTTGGAACAGACTCCCCCAAACTGGGCTCAGACAGCAGCAGAGCAGCAGTGTTTGGGCAGCTCTGTGGTGAACAAGGGGCAGCACAGGGGCTGTGCTTGGGAGTTGGGGTTTCAGAAGTGACCAGTGCTCAGGAGTGTTTCAGTCTGGCCTCAGTAAGGAGTTGGACAGTGAGTTCCAGGCTTCTCAAGACAGCCGCTTGCTTCCATGTTCACTTAGAATCAGACTCATAAAATTACTTGGATTGGAAAAGACCTTTAAGATCTTCAAGCACTGCTGTGCTTGCCCTTAACTCATGTCCCAAGTGCCACAGGCAGGCCTTCTGAACACTGCAAAAGATGGTGACTCCACCACTGCCCCAGGCAGTTCCAATGTTTTACAACCCTCTTACAACCATTACAAATTCCAGTTTGATTATTTGGGGCTGCCAGACAGAGTGTTTGGCTCCATTGCTGTAGCCTGAGAGTGTGACTGTGTGAAACACCTTAGGCTTGTACAATTCAGAAGAATTTATGAAGTCTAGAAGCATTGTGTTGAGGGCTGTGTTGGTCACTGTGACTTTCTGAAGCAGCTCTGGTCTCCTCTCTTGCAGTTCACCATCTCGGTGAGCACGGACATGCGGCATCACCGCGTGCGCCTGGTGTTCCAGGACACGCCCGTGCGCAACGGGAAGAAACCGCGCCTGGAGCAGGGGGTGCAGGTGGTGCTGGACCCTGTGCACAGCGTCAGGCTCCTGGATTGGTGGCACCCACAGTACCCCTTCTCCCCAAAGGCTTAGTGCTCTCCTGAGGCTGCAGGAGCCCGCAGGGGACTCAATCTGGCAGGCTGAAGAGAATTTCTAGGAACCAGGAAATCCTATTTTTATTTCTGAAATAAATTCTGCAGACTCCTTGCAAGTGGTTGAAGCTGCTGAGCTAGTTTGTATGTATATAACTTCTGGTCAGTAATGGGCAGAGCTGAGTGTAAAGCAGAAACTATTTGTAAACACACTTTTATGTAAAATTGACATTTTATGATTTGAAAGGAGCTCCCTGGAACTGTTCATTTAAAATCCTTTTGGTGCTAATCAAAGTGGTCCTGTGTTCTCTTGTTCGGGAAGAAGCAGGAGGTTTTGCTTTCCAAGAATTTTCCCCTTTGCTTTCCAGGAACAATTTACAAACAAAATCCATGTTTATTTTACTGCAGCAGCATTGTGTTTGTGCACAGTGTGATATTTCAGTGTCTGAGAAGCAGTGATCAACAGTAATTTTAATTCCCAGCCCAGCAGGTCCAAGTTTCAGAAAAGAAAAAGGCATAAATGATCAAACAAAGGAATTACTTCAGAGGAGTCATAAGGCAAAAGTCTCACTYGAATGTAAAGGTACTCAAGTTCTCACACTGGTGTTGTTCTTTGAAAAGAAGATCTAAACTTTTAAAACCAGAAGGTCCTTCTCAGTGAAGATAAACAGGGAGGGAGAGGAGCTGGAGGGGATAAACTAAAATAACTGAAGCAGTGATGAAGGACTCAACTCTGTGTCTTTTCTAAGAGCAGTGTGGAAATCTTTCCTGTTGAAAGCCCCCAAGCAACCACTGATCTGGCATTTGACTAAACAAATTGATTTYTGTGAGGAAGAAGCAATCCTGAAACTTCTGTGGCTCTGGGCTGACTGAGAAGTGAGGGGTGCAGRGGCTGGAACTGTCAGGAGTGTGGTCTGACCAGAATGAACCGGGCTGGAGGTTTGATTGAAGTCATGGCTGCCTGGGGAGGTGCAGAGGAGGTGCTGCAGGGCAGGGGAGCAGCTGTGCARATACAGCCTCTGGACTGAGCCTTGCTGCCTATCAGATACCAGCACCTCAGTCCTACTGCACATCACATCTGGTCCCAAGCAGGAGGAACAGCACTTGTCCGTGTAGAATGTCCAGTGAAGCTCCTGGAAGGAGAGGGAGTTTGGCCATCTTGGTTTGGACTCGGTGATCCTGTGAGTCCCTTCCAGCTCAGAATATCCTGTGATTCTGTGACCCCACATGACCCTGGTATGGCTGCCCATGAGGAGTTACTTGCACATGCCTCTGCCACTCTGTAAATCGCCACCAAGGACATCTGCCCGAGCCTTGGATCTATGTTGGAGGCTCTTCATGGTGACTTCAAATACATTTGGGACAGCTCCTGCCTCACAGTTCCCCTTTCCACCACTGCTGAACGTCTGTTGATGCCAACAGGTAAGTTTTGAGGTTAAATTGGTTTAGTAGAGATACAGGGCAAGGAAAATGTATTGTCCCTGTGATCCTGAGGCTGCTATGATAGCAGAGACTGGGCTGTGTTGTGATTGTGGTGCAGGAGAGGCAGGACAGGGTTGGGGCTGGAGCTGTGTGTGAGAGCTGCATCCCCAAAGAAGTGAGCCTTCCATCCCCTAGGAAGTGAGCCTTCCATCTCCTAGGAAGTGAGCCTTCCATCCCCTATGAAGCTGCTCCAGGGCAGTGGGGGACAACAATCTTTCTTTTGCTGTGGGGTTAAGCACCACTGAGCTCAGAGACATGTGTTCAATGCTCAGATGGGAAAGGTCAGGCAGTGTAATGTGGTCAGGCTGCAGTTTCCTGTTGTCTCAGAGGTGGTTTCTCACCGAGAGCCTGGTTCTGACTGTGCTTCAGGCTGTTTGCTGCTATATTCCCTGAAAACTCCCTGTTGCAGAATGATGTCAGGGCTGTGTGCCTGGTGATTGCTGCTTGTGCAGGGTCTGCAGGGTGGGAGCAGAGAGTTTTGGTTCCTTGCTCAGGCTGCTGGCAGCAGCATGRAGCAGGCTGGTGTCTGTGTGAGGCTCTGCCCTCAGCTCTGGGGAGCTGCTGCGGTTGGGCCCTGCTCTGGCTCCTGTGCAGAGCTACAGGACGGCTCCTAGGGCTGGGCATTCCTGCCATCTGGCAAAGCAGGAATACCTTCTGATCAGGCAGATGGCACATCCAGGGGGCAGGGGTGCTTGGCAGCTCCCACAATTCCCTGGCTGATCCCAAGCGATGCAGCCAGAGCGGCAGCGCAGGCTGTAACACCAGGAAGCAGGTGGACGGGATGTTTCCTGCAACCAACAGACTTGCTGGATTCAAATATGGATATTTAGATACAGATAGATGCCTGTAAGCTAGAGGTGCGCCTCCTAGGCCAGGCTTTTTCTAGGCTGAAATGTATAAAATGTGCAAGAACAATCCTCAGTCTTTCCTTTACAAAGCTCCTGGTGACCCCATTTCTGGAGCTGTGTTGATCAGCAGTGCTGGCAGGGACTGGGGACCTATTCTGGTCTGTGTGGGGAGGCTGGGGAGTGACAGGGATGCTGTGGAAAGGGGACTCTGCCTCTGTGTAGAGCTGCAACTGCAGGTGTTCCTCTTGACCCTTACCCAGAGCACCTGAACCCTGTGCTGAGCTTTGCTCAGTGATGGAATGACACCAGAGCTCAGCCCAAGCAAGGGATTGCCACTCTGGTCCCCAAGCCCAGCCTCTCTTGAAGCCTCATTGCCAAAAAAGCCCTCTTTGGTGTTCTCCAGGGTGGGATGCAGAGAGTGCGTGGGCAGGAGCGGCTGTGGTTTGGTGTCATGTGTTTCTGTAGCACATGGCTCAGAGGGGTCCCTGTGGTGTGGAAATGGAGCCCCAGACCAGAGCGCGGTGGCTGTCCCTGTGCCCTCCCTGCTGTGTGAGGCCCTGTTCTACCTCTGCTTTGTCCTCGTGAATAATGGAAGGGCTGTAAAAAAGATCCTGCCTGGCTCTCTGGTTTCCTGGGGGGAGACAGGAAGGCTTGGCCACCACCTCTTCCTGCTCCTGTCCTTGTCAAGGGATCTGGTGTCCAACAGGAGCTGAGCCAGGTAAGGAGAGGCCTGGAGGCTTGGGGAAGAGGGTGGGCCCTGTCGTGGGTCCTCTGTTGCCTATCCCACCCCAGTCCTCAGCTCTGGCTCCAGCGGGGGGAACTGGTCCTCCCCAGCCCCCTGAGCTGGGTCTGCTTGTGCAGCCACAGGCCCCTCTCAGGCCAGCCTTTGCACATGGGACTTCTCTTTCTTCTACAGCTTATTCCCAAAGCAAGCAAAAACGTGCCTTTTAGGCTCATTTCAGCCACCTCCCTGTTTCCCCAGGTCAAATATTTTGGTGAGCAGAGCATGTTTGGGTTTGGGGACAGCGGGAGGTTTGAGAGCAGTTCTGGGTGCCAGACCCAGGTTGGTTCCTGGGCACTGGGGCTGTGCCATAKCCCTCACAGTGGGGACTTGCTCCATAGCACAAGGGATGGCTGAATGAACTGGCTCAGGCTGGGCTTGTGGCACCTACTTTGAGGGCAAGAGGACCCAGGACCTTTGCCTGGACCCCAGGAGCTGTGTCCTGGCTGTGGATTCCTTTCCCTGCTCCTGGCAGACTCATGGATGTGCCTGGAGAGGGTCAAATCCCACCCTAGCACTGCATCCTGGGGCAGCCTGTGGGGACCAGCAGGGGATTTGGTGGCCCTACTGCTCCCCTTGCTGGCTGTTCTTGTGGCAGGGCTGTTGCACCCTGAGTGTTGGGGACCCAGGGCTGTGCTGGGGGACCCCAGGGCTGTGCTCGGTGTCACAGCCCTCCCCCTCTTCCTTTCTGCAGGGATGGGAAGGACCTGGTTTCCTTCCTGTGCACGGGTGGGGGTCAGGAGCAGCTGTGATGAGCCCTACAACCCTTCCCACTCTGCAGCTGCTGCCGAGCCCTACAACCCTTCCCACTCTGGGCCACCAAGCAGCAAAGCTCTACTGGGCTGCACCATACCAGCTCCCTTGGCTCTCCTGGCATCCTCCAGCCCTGCCCGGGTGGGAATCCTGGACTGCCCCTGCTCCAGTGCAGGTGGGGTATCCCCACTGAGCCCCTGGGACCCCCTGGGACAGAGCCACTGCCATCCCACTATGGGAATATAAGGATGTAAAACCAAACCACAAGGGAAAAGTGAAACTCAGCAGATCTGGGAGCCTGGGGACRTCTCTTCCTCCTTCCCAGCACCATCACCTGCTTCCAGCCCTACCTTATCTCTCCGCAGCCACCTTTGACCTCACACAGGCATCCCAGGCTGCATGTGCTCCCGTGGAGAGCAGCCAGGGCTCACAGTCATCATGGGGGATTTGTAGAAGGCGGAGCCAGGCAAGAGATGTGGGGCCTTCCTGAAGGTAGGGGAGGTCCAGGCCAGCAAGGAGAGAAGGGAAGTGGGATCCACGCTTCTATGTGAATAAATAGGGTGGGTGGGATGGAGGGGAAGGGAAGGGACTTGCTCTCCATTCAGTTGCTGTGGGTGAGTTGCTGTGTGGGAAGGAGCTGATCTGGTGGGGGTCAAGTGATGTTATTGGTGACTTTTGGGTGTCCCAGAGCCACATTCCTGCTCTGGGTCGGGAGCAGGGAAACAGTGGGAGAAAAGCAAAGCTTGGAGGGTGGGGGAGCTGGGAGCAAACCGGGCCATGGAAGGGCACCGTGTGGCCCGTGTTGGCTCATTGGGACTAGAAGGGGCTTCATTCCCAGCCCAGCTGTGATGCCCAGCTGGGGAGTGAGGAGCTGGGGTCTGCCGGGAAGCCGTGGGGTCYTGGGGGTGCATCCTGGGTGGGATTCAGGCTCTGCCCTGGCCCGGGGTACCAGGGCTACAGTTCTGGCTCTGCAGCCCCAAAGGTTTTTGCCACCTCAGCACAAGAGCTGGAAAATAAACGGGTGAAGTGGCAGGTTCATGCCAGAGTTTGGGATGCTGAGGCTTGGCAAAGAGCCCCGGCAGGAGTTGGTGCTGCCCGGGAGACTGGAGCTGCCAGCGGGGATGGGGTGGGTGGGACACAGACGGTGCCATGCTGGGATGCCCGTCCGTGGTGCCGCCGTAGTTCCCACGGTGGGCTGGGAGCCTCTGGCCCGTCGTACGCAAGGCCCCGCTGGCCTGGCCGGTTCTCYGAGGCTCCTGGGGCAGAGGACGCCGGCGGATGCTCCTCCTCTGCGGGAGGCAGGCAACGACTCGGGGTGGGGCTTTGCTGAGCGAGAAGCCAGAGTCCGGCCAGCCCGGGGAAGTTACCAGGGCCGAGCACCCCGGAGAGGCAAGGCTGCCGCCCACCCGTGAGTCTCTGCCCTCGGTGGGTGCGTCGGAACAGGGCTGGCCAGGAGCCATCTCCTGATGCTGTGAGAAGGGGTGCCTGGGGACCCGAGGGTGAGGGCAGGGGGCTGGGCTGGGGATCCCCRGCTGTCAGTGAGGGGAACAGGATTGGTGTAAGTGTTCCCTTGCCCAACTTCCTGCAGGGATACCTCTGTGCTGTGGGACACCTGGGCTGGCTGAAAGCTTTGGCTTCCGGAGCTGTGTGCTACTGGAACAGGGCATTTGCCCCCCTTCCTCCCTGTGGAACAACCCCTGCAGCAGACACCCACTGACAGTGGGGCCAGACCCTGGACTGGCTCCCAGAGCCCCCATCCCATGCAGCCCTGAATGGCCACCATTTGTCCATGGGGGACGTTGTGCTGCCACAATTTGAAGTGTCCCTCCTCCATTTATGGTGCTGGGTTCCATCCCACTCCTCACCATCCTGGGGACCCCCAGGAGCACTGGAGCCGTGCTGCAGGAGAGTCAGTGTTTACTCTGCTGGGTGACACAGCCTTTGTGCCTCAGTTTCCCCCAGCATGGAAAGGCAGTGGGAAGGGAGCTCTGGCTGTTCCCTCCTCCTTGTGCAACCAGCCCTGCTCTTCCCGGTGCTGRCGGAAGCAGATGGAGCCGCCCGCACGCCGGGAGCTTCCTCATAGCCTCGTGGGACCGAGGCTGGGGATGGACTGTTCCTTCCCCTGCCCTGGACTGAGGCTGGGGAGTGGAGGAGTTTGGCTCCATGCAGGTGGCTCTCAGCTCCTCCTGGCCAATGTCCCCACAGTGGGGTGGCTTTTGGGGACATCTAGAGTGGGATACTGAGCTGTGRGGAAGGTACATGAGGTGCTGGAGCAGTGTGTGGGGACAAAGATGCTCCATGGAGACACTTTGAGCGGGAGTGGGAAGATGCTACACCCCTGGTTGTGTCCACCTACCTGGGCTGCTTAGTTTCTCCATGGAGGCAGAAATCCAAACCCCAGTTAGGGGGTTAATTATGGGGCAGCACTTACTACCTTCCATTCTGTTCTGTGCCTGTGACTGCTGTTCCCCATGGGCTCCTGGCTCCTTGGGTGAAGCTCTTGCCTGTGAGAGCTGGGGGTGCTGAGCAGCACCTTGTTTTCCATGCAGGATGGGCCATTGGCAGCCAGACATTCCCTAGCAGCCAGAAAAATCTTTATCCACCCAGAGTGGCCAAAGGCCCAGCCTGGCATGTTGGTCAAGCCTCACCCTTCCCAGCTCACCCCCTGGCTGTGGCTGCAGATCCTGGATGTCCAGGCTTGGAAATCCACCTCCAGGGTGGTGTCAGGATGTGATGTTTCCATGGCTCATATAGATTCCTAATGCTGCTCCCCCTCCCCCCTGCACTGGTGAGGTCCCCATGTCCCCAGAGCTATATGGGATGGAGAGGCCCCGCTCTCTGCTGGCGCCTGGACAAAGATTTTGAGCAGCTTCAGGAGCTTGCTGTGCCTGCTGGGGCTCAGCCCTGCCCCGCCTGGGAGCGCGGCTCTCAGGCTCCAAGTGTTTATCTCCAAGAAGCGAGCTGTGTCCCTGGACAGGGTCAGTGCTCCAAGGACGGAGTGCCTGTGGGTCGGGGCCACGTGCTCAGCACCAGCCTCTTGAGATGCTAACAACCCCCCTAAAGGACTTCTGAGCATGAAAACTGGAGGGTTCTCCTGAAAATAAGCCCAGCACACTCTCCAGGGCAGCAGCCCCAGAGGTGCTGTGCTCCCATCTGTGTCTGGGGCCTGCAGGTGGGCTCAGAGCATCCCCTGCACAGCGGTAGTTGGAGCAGGAAAATGTTCCAGCAGTCCTGGGAAGCCCATCCTTGGTTTGGGAAGGCTTAGGAGGATTTTTTCTCCACATCTGCATTCAAAGCCGTTTTGACCAAGCCAAGGCATGGCACTGTGAGTAGCTTGGATGGGGCTGAGGGTGTTTGCCCCTCCCCGGGCTGGGCACTCCCCCGGGCTCAGCTGCTCCTTTTCCAGGGCAGCACGGTCATATTTATAATGGAAAAAACCCAGGCAAACACAGGAGCCCTTTAGCCTCCTGCCACGCCTCTGCTACAAGGTAAAATATCTCAAGAGTACTGCGACTTCCTTGAAGGTGACACTGTTCCCTCAGGGACACCTTTCTTGTCCTACAGAGCAGGGGACGTGGTTGGGACAGGGCTGGGACAGGGCAATCTGGTGCCTGCCTAGAGGAAAGTGGGGAGCTGCTTCCTCCTCACCGTGCTGGAAGAGCAGCCTGGGCCCATTTAATACCAGAGTGTTTTCCAGGGCTTGGTGCCAAGTCCTAGGGTGTCAGTGAGTGGTCCTGGGGTGTTCCCACAACCTGAAAGCCTTTCTGGAGGCACTGTCACCCGCATTTCTTCTGCCTCCAGCTCTGGGGTGCTGCTTAGGGTGTCCCAGGGCAGCCGAGGTATCCTGGGACTTCTTGGGAGGATTTTGTACCTGGCTGATTTTGTCCTGGTCAGGTTGGGGTGTCCCTGCCCCTGCCTGCCCAAAGGGGATGGTACACAAATGTCCCCTGATGCCCCATGGCTACCCCTGGGTTCTCTGGGCAGGGGAGTAGTCCCAGGGGTGCATCCAGGTGCTGTCCAACTGTCCCATCCTGGGGGTGGTGGCTTTACCCAGCTGTGCCCTGATGTGTCCCCTCTTCCCAGGCCTCAGCCGGCAGGGGCCATGCGATGCTCCCTGAAACGCTCCCTCACGGCTCTGCTTGCTGCCTCCTTCCTCCTCCTCCTCCTTCTCCATGGGGGCAACCGGCAAGAACAGGAACCCCTGGAGGTGAGTCCCCACCCAGTGATGTCCCACTGGAGAGGCCACTGGAGCATCCTCCATCCCTTCCTGCCTCACATGGACCTGACCTCAGTTCTGCTCCCTTCCCTGTCCCATGTCACCCCCAGCCYCGAGGTGTGCCTTCTTCTCTCCTTGGGGTTGCACTGGGCAGCTGGACCCCACTGAATTCAGGAGTTGGRAGGGCAGGACAGGGACTCCCCTTCGCTTCTGGGTCCCGCTGTTGTTATCCCTCCTTGCTCATGTGTCCGTGGTGCTCTGGGGTCTGACTTGGCTGCCTGTGGCTCCCATGCAGGTGGAGCTCAGGGGCCTGGCCCCCGACACGATCCTGCAGCTGCTAAAGCCGGAGGGAGCCCAGCGCATCCTCAGGGACATGGCCGAGCCCTCTGCACTTCACAATGTCTCCTACCAGCTCCTCGCTGGCTCCCKGGTGCCCCGAAAAAGTGAGTAGTCCTGGCCCCCAGAGCAGGGCTCTGGGTGTGCACATCTGTCCCAGCACAGACCTGCCCCCTCACTGCTGCTGGGGCAGGGAGGGGTGTGTCCATCCTTTTTGGGCTGGGACCTGTGCACAACCTCCTCCAAAGCCTCCATAGCCTTCGCTGCTCGCTCTGGGCATGGAGGAGTTGGAGAAGCTCCACGTGCTCCAAGTGGGGTCCAAGTTTCTGCACCTCAGGACTGGGGTGACCTCAGGTTTTTGGGTCCCAAGCCTCTGTGGGGAAATCCTATCTCCCTGGGGTTGAGGTTCCAGTGGAGATGGGGAGCTGGACCATTGGGACACACCCACAGTGTGGGAGAAGTGGGCCAAGCTCTTGGACAKGTGCACAAGAAGCAAGTCCCACACAAACCCCTGGGAAGGAGTTCAGGACAACCCCCTGTGYGGTCATGCTGGAACCCACATGTGGGATGGTGCTGCCCAGACCAGCAGCAAGAGAAGCTGAACCAAGGCAGCCACTGCTGGGCTGTGGGGCCTGATCCCAGTGTGGATGCATCTCCACAAGGGAGGAGTAGGGAACACTTCCACGATGTCCAGCCATGCCAATAAGCCATTCCTGGCCTGTAGACTCTGCACTGTTACTTGCCTGCATTTGGCTTTTTTAAGGTGTTTTTCAGGAATATTTCTTCCTCAGAGAAGCCCCTGCCTCCTCATCTTCTCTTGCTGCCATTTGGGCCAATTTTGGGCCCCTCCTGAGATGCTGGAGGCTTCAACTTTAGGAAGGATCTACCAGCCTTGGACACAGGGCTACAAAAAGCACTGTTCATGTGGGCTGGTCATGGGAAGAATTTTTTGGAGCCCTCTCCTTACATCTTGCAGGGAAGAATATCGCCATGGTGATCCCAGGTCACCCCTGTCCTGCTCGTACCTTTCCTTGTCTTGCAGAATTCCTGGCAGTGGGATTGGCATCTGTGCAGAGGCCACGTGGTTTCTACCTCCCAGCCACACTCGAGTCCCTCTTCAGCCAGTCCACAGAGGAGGAGCTGCAAGAGATGGTGGTGGTGGTGCACCTGGCCGACACGGATCCTGGCTGGAACGTGCATGTCGCTGCCACCATCGCCCGGAAATTTGCTCGCCACATCCTTCTGGGCCGCCTCCTGCTCATCCACGCTCCCCTTGAGTTCTACCCCACCCTGGAAGGCCTCAAGAGGAACTTCAACGATGCAGAAGAGCGGGTGAGGTTCCGCTCCAAGCAGAACGTGGACTACGCCTTCCTGCTTGCCTTTGCCGCCAACCTTTCCTCCTACTACCTAATGATTGAGGATGACGTGTGGAGCGCCAGGTCCTTCCTGACGGCCATCCGCAGGGCGCTGGCTTCCCAGGAGGGCTCTAACTGGGCCACCCTCGAGTTCTCCAAGCTGGGCTACATCGGGAAGCTCTACCGCTCCAGTGATCTTCCTCGCCTGGCTCACTTCCTCTTCCTCTTCTACCAGGAAATGCCCTGTGACTGGCTGCTGGTTCACTTCCGCCAACTGCTCACCCAGAGGGACGTGATCCGCTTCAAGCCATCCCTCTTCCAGCACATGGGCCGCTACTCCTCCTTCCAGGGCACCATCAACCGGCTGGAGGACGAGGATTTCCAGGCTGACGCCTTGGACCTCCCAGACAACCCACCAGCATCCCTGTACACCAGCATGTCTGTCTTTGAGAACTACGAGCCCCTCAAGGCCTACAGCTCAGCACAAGGGTACTTTTGGGGCAAAGACCCAGCAGCTGGCAGTACCTTTTCCATCGTGTTCCAGCAGCCAGCCCGGGTCAGCCGTGTGCGGGTGCGTACAGGGTCCGCAGAGCGCCCGGGTGATTTCCTGCACGCGGGGCTGCTGGAGCTGGGCCAGCACCGGGACCATGGCCGGGACTGCTCCTCCTACGTTCCCGTGGGCTCCTTTGAGAAGGGGACTGCTGAGCAGCGGGGTCTGGAGAGGGTCCTTCCTGGGCCTGTGGAGTGCGTGAGGATCCGGGTGACCCGGGACCAGAGCGAGTGGCTTATCATCCAGAGCATCGACATCTGGACCATGGCAGGCACCTGACCTCGGGTGTGGCAGGATGTCAAAGCAGCTGGATTTGGTTCTAAGAGCTTTATTTTTTTCATTCCCGTTTTGGATAAGTTATTGACTCCCAGTAGCCCCATGTCTGGCAGGATGGGAACCACTGCTGTGGGTCCAGGAGCAGGGCCCATCAGGATGTGCCTGCTGTGGGATGCCCCGGTGAGCAATGGAGGGGGCATGGGAAGGGGAACAGGCTTGGGAATTCCAGGCTGGGCAGTAGAAAACATTTCCTCTCGGGGAAGATGATGTATAGGACAAAGCTGATCAGCTAATCAACAAACCAAATAATTAATCAGGCAGTGGCATTTTTGCAGCCTCTCCACACCTTCCCTTCTGTAAGCTTTCTAACTTTTTCCAAAACTCTTGATTTCTGACTGTATTTTTCCCTCCTCTCCTATCCATTTCCTAGCTGTTCCTGGAGGGGTCAGGGGATGGTCTGGGGGTGCTGTTCACCAAAACCCTCACCCCGCAGGCTCAGCAGGTTTGCGGCAGCAGGAGTACCCGCCCATGTCCCGGTGCCGATCGGGGGCAGTGGCCACCAGATGGATCCATCGACCCGGCCTCGGCAGCGCCTCCCACCAGCGCTGCTTGTTCCCGCCCTCGAGGGGGAAAAATCACTTCCCATGGACCACACCTTGTTTCCGTGCAGGGTTCACAGCGAGAGGGGAGGACAGGCGAGATGGGGGGGAGAAAGGCCCAGAATTGAGTACCAGGGAACACGGATGGGTCAAGGAAAAGGTGACCTCAGTATAATGTGAAGCTCTGAGTCGTTTTTAGCCCAAGTGAGGTACTTAAGGGTAACTGAGGTACACACAGGCCCCCAAAGCTGCTGATTGGGTTTGTCTGGCAGGGTCATCTTAGAGGGCTGGATGCTCCACCAGCAGCTGTTGGCCCCAGAACACAGGGCAGTGACTGGCACCTCTCMGTTAGGCTTTTAGCAACAATTTCTCAGCTTCCTGCAAAGGAGTAATTCCAGTCTGCTCAGCCTTCCCAGAGGACAGCCCAGGGAAGTAGTAACTTGTGCCAAGCAGGATTCTGGTGTGCCCATATTCCAAGCCTGGCTATCCTGGAGCAGGACAGTCACTGTCAGCAGGGAGCAGTGCCAGGGACACTCCTGCAGTGCCACAACTACAGCTCTGGCTTGAGGTGGCATCAGCTCACTGGGAGGGCACTGGGAGGCAGCTGGATAGTCCCAGACCTGGCATAATGGGATTTTTCCCTGAAAAATGAAAATACATCCAGGTAGTAGATCTTTTTCTCCATTTAATACAGAGGTGCTACACCATAAACTCCAGCACCACCCTGACATTCCAGATGTTCTCAGTGGGATCAATGTACACATGGCAGAACCACTCCAGCTCCTTCCACACAGCCCAAGACCGGTTAGAGCCCTTGGAGTGTTCTGAGTAGTAAAAATGTCCACTTCCCAGGACTCAGACAGATGTTTCCAGTGCTCCAGGAGTGCCTCTGCCCCAGTTCTCTTGGACACAAATGCTGCTGCTCACTCTGGGAGAGCACCAAGGGTCACTAGTGTGGGTACAAATGGAAAGGTTTCTCCCCAGGAGGTTTTTATCCACTGCTAAAGCATGAAAAGACAGAAATGTAAATCAGCCTTTTACCTATTGGACTCTTACTGGTGCAGGTAGCAATACGTTTTATGACATTCACCTGCACAGAAACAAGCTGCAATCTCAGTTATGCTGGTGTAAACCTGGACAGACCAGAAGTGTGGAAATCTCTCCATTTACACCAGAGTAAGTGGAAGCAGCAGGGCACACTGGCCGGAACCCCCTTCCCTTTGTTCCTGTGCTGCACATGTGGCTCACCACCACAATGCTGAAGGAACACGAGTGCACACTGGCAGAGGAGGAGGTGGCTGCTGCATCGTGAAGGAACATCACATAATTTATCCCACATCAAATTTCTCCCACTATTTCTATCTCAGGAACACTCAGCCAGCTCCCATTACTCTGTTCCTAGCCCCTGCTTGTGCTGGGGGTGGGCTGATGGAGCCCCATGTCAGGCCGAGCTCTGCGTGCCACAGTCCAGGGGCCAGTGGGGAAGGGCAGGGGAAGGGCAGGGGACAGGTCCAGAGGAACCCTGGGGACTGCTGCTCCCTCTGGAGACAGTGGATCAGGGAGGTTGGATATTCCATTCCAACACCGGGGTGTCCTGGCGCGGCAGAGCCCAGTGGGGCCTAGCTCAGCATCTTGTGCCGGTCAAACACCGTCTTCCTCTGCTCCTGCACTTGCCGCTTCCAGCGCTGCTGCGCCCCCTCCACCCGCTCCAGCACCGTGTTGGCCCTGGCACCAGCTGGGGCGGGCACTGCAGCCAGAGAGCGAGTGTCCTGCAAGGAAAGGAATGGGGCTGGAGACCAGGCAATGCCCAGCCCCAGCACAGAGGGAGGCAGCTGACACAGGGAGAAATTGCACCTGAAAGAGCAGTTCAAGGTTTGAGTTGTTTTGATGAAGAACCTCCTTTGATGAAGCTCTTTGATGAAGAGCTCCTTAACATCAGCCCCCAAGTCCTTGYTTTTGGGGATCACCCACAGCTCCACATAAAAGTCCCCAGGAGAGAAACTGCACTATGTGTAGAGCTGTGCTGGGAATCCACTCTTGGAGTCTGCAAGGAGCCATAGTGCTGAAGTGATGGGCGATCCATCACAGCACAGGAACAAAGCCTACCCCAGATGATTTACAGTCCAGCACACTCACCTAMCAGCAGGCATTTACCATGTGCACCTGGATCTGGATCTGAATTATTGTTGCAGAGCGGAGAGCAAACTCACAATTTCAGAATACAATTCAATTCCTCCTGCAGGATCTCCTTTTTCAGCAGAGGGAGGCAATGGGTGGACTGCAAACACTGGAGCAGCTGCCCCTCACATCAAAGTATGAAGGAATTGGGCCAAATAGTTTATACTCAAAACAAGGTACCAATAGGACAGTCCAACCCAGTGCTGAAATTGCGTGAATTTCGTGCAGCAAGAAATTTGTCCTCCCCCAAAATTGGTGTATGACCGAGAGAGAGAGAGAGGCTCTTTCTTTGCTCCTGGGTCCCGATCTTTTTGCCCATGATTTGCATGCCAGTGTCCCACATAAAGATGGGGTTTGTATGAAATTGTGCTCTGGGGAGAAGCACAAGGAACAACAACCTCGATACAACAGGATGCAGCCCCAGAGCAGGATCAAACAGCAGCTCAGAGGCCCGTATTTAAGTATCTAGAAATTGTTTCAGCCAACACTTCAGCTCATCCTTCCCTGGAAGCTCAGCACCACAAAACTCCACTTGGGACACTGCACAAACAGGATCTGTTTGACTTTTGGTTCCCTCTACATGGACAAACCAAATTCAAGCCAATTGGTACAAAGCCCCCTCTACCCCCTTTTAGCTCATTACACAGAACTTTGAATATTCCTTGTGCTTCTGCAGGACCTGCAGAGATTTGAGTCTAAATGTTCCTTTGCGTACACATCCCCAAAGCAGCAGCAGCTGGTCCCCCTCTGACCTCACTGTATCAGAGGGGACAAGCAGGAGCTCAGTGTTTCCATGTCCTCCATTCTCCTATCCCCCTGTCTGCACCCGYTGCCCCCTTACCTCGCTGTCCTCCTCGTTGTGCAGGGGCTGGGTGTAGGGGTCTGGCTTCCGGATCAGGGGGTCCACGAGCACCAGGAACGCCATGTACAGCAGCAGAGCCCCCACCACCGAGAGGTAGATGATGATGATCACCTGCAGTTGAGGACAGCACACAGGGAAAGGATCAGCAGTGTAGATAAGAAGCACCACAGAGGTCAGGAAGGTCCTTTGCAGCTGCCTCTGATGCGTGATCTCTTCTCTTGTTCTCATTTTGCTATCAGGAGTTTCTTGCTCTTGCCAGGAGGCTGAGGTTGTGCCATCATGGCACAAACTGTGCTGATCTTCTCACTGTGCCAACTAAGGGCATGTTGTGCACATAAGGGACAACAAGATGAGGCCCAGGTCAGAGATGTTTGGCACTCTCACATCTACAGCAAGAAGACTGGGCTCCCATACAGCTCCTCTTTGCCAGGAGCACCCCTGGCTCAGACAGAAATCACACAATCACGGAAGTCACAGAATCCCTGAATCACTGAAGTTGGAGAACAAGTCTGAGATCACAAAGTCCAACCTGTGACCAATCCCCACCTTGTCCCCCTACCCAGGGCACTCAGTGCCACATCCAGTTGTTCCTTGAACACCTCCAGGGACAGTGACTCCACAATCTCCTTGGGCAGCCCCTTCCAGTATCCAACACCTCTTCTGTGAAGAAATTCTTCCTAATGTCCGACCTAAACCTCCCCAAGTGCTGCTAAAGACCACGTCCTCTTGTCCTGTCCCTTGTTCCCTGGGAGCAGAGCCTGACCCCCCACCAGGCTACAGCCTTCTTTCAGAGAGTTGTAAAGAGTGAGCCGCTGGCACTGGTGCCATGTACTCATGCAGTTTTCTTTTTCTGGACACTTCTCCGGGAACCTACCCATGTGGCAGTGCCTGGGCTGGCATGGCATGGCATGGCAGGGGGCAGGGCACAGGCAGTGACTGCAGTCCCCCTGGGCTGGTGTGGCACAGCAGGGAGCAGGACAAAGGCTGGGGACTGAGTTCAGGTACCTTGATGGTGGTGGTGCTGCGCTCCTCATACTTGCATTCGCAGAGCAGGCAATAGGCCTCCACATCATTGCCGGGCACTGGCATGGGCTCCACCACGTGCAGGCAGTTGCTGTGGCACAAAGTACAATCAGCAGCAGCATCAGGTGAAACCAGTGCTCTGTGCAAGGACACTGGGGTGACTTTCTCTGTGACCCAGCTTTCCTGCCAGGCTGATAACACTGATCCGGTGTTAAGAGCTCCCCTCACAGCCCAGCTGGTCCAAAGTCCCTGGGATAGACTGTCCCAGCGCCTTTTGTAGGGATCAAATCCAAGTGCAAGGGATTGGAGGGTGCACCCTACATCTGCCAAGAGCTGTGGGTAAAGATACCATCCCAGATTCCTCAATTTCTGTTTAAAAATTGCCCTGGCCTGGGCTCAACATCACCCACCAAAGCRGCTCCCTCTGCAAACACACAGGCAGGGAATCCCTCAGCACCAGCTGGGAGCTCCAGAGCTTGGCTATCATGGACGAACCCCTGAGGCTGTCTCCCCTCACTCACCAGTCTTTCTGTGACACATTCTTGTTGTAGATGTGGCCGCTGATGTTGCGGTATGGAGGGCAGATGCACTTGCAGCGAATGTCCTCAGAGCTCTGCAGGGCACASGAGCCGTGTGAGGGAGGGGACAAAGCTGTCCCCTCACACCCCACTTCTGCTGTGGCCCATGCAGAGCTYGGTGTCACCCACCTTGCTGGACTGTGCTGCGGGACACAGGACACAGCCCAGCAGCAGCAGCAGCACAGGGCTTGCAGAGTTCCAGGAGCTCTGGGCAAACATCCTKGGAGCCTGAGGGAACAAAAACTCACATCCAGGATAGAGCATCTTAGCTGAAAGCAGCCATAATGAGGTAGATAGATAGAGATTTTTTTTTGGCTCGCCTGTTTTGCCCAGGAAGAAGAAATTTATTCCTGAATCATGGCTGATGCCAGTCAGAAACTCTTAGAAACACTTTAACACAGAGCCTAAGAACACTCCTGTCAGAAGAGCTTCCCACCACATACAACCACACATCCAAACTACTCCAGCCCTGCAAAAGTATTACTGATCTCCCTACAACTGRACTTGAACAAAACCTCCTGTTCTTCTTACTGTCCTGAAGCCCTGCTGCAGATATTTTGGTGGTGACACTTTTGCTTAGTAAAAGACAGAACCAGGAAAATTATGGAGCAAGAGTGACCTAAAACAGCACCCAGTCCCTTTCTGCTGCACTGTTATGAATGGTAGATCATTCATCTTCTGACACTCACAAAGTCTTGCTGCTGAAGGGAATGATGTATTCTCCTGTCATGAGCTATGGGAAAGGTACAATATTAGGAATATTCCTAAGTATACCAAACCAATTCCTATGACTCCTTTATCCCAAGATACCTGTTCAGTAAATCCTGATTTTACAATTACTGCAAGCTGGTAGCTTGATGAATTCATTAATGCCTTTTGCTATGTATCACATAATCACAGAATGGTTTGGGCTGGAAGGGATCCTAAAGATCATCTCCTTCCAACCCTCATGTGTGTGGATAAAGTTTTTCCAGAGACATGTGCTTCCACAAATCCATAAGAATATTAATTCATTCCCTGTACCACAAAAGGCAAGTTGGCTTTGGTGAGGCTGGCATCCACCCTCGGAGAGAAAAGGTGGAGCAGGTGTTGGGGGCCTTGGGACAGCATGGAAGAGCTGCTTCAGCAGAAGTAGAGGAAGGGAATTTACATTACATTACTTCATTAATCAGCTCCCAGATAATCCCACAGCTCACTCCAGGTATTTGTACTCCATCATCTGACCTGACACCATTGGGATTTAAATCACTGCAATATTCCATCACCCTTGGCTTTATCTTATGTCAACACCTTAAATTCACATAATAGATTACAAACACCAAGTTCCTTTCTTCTTTATCTAAACAAAACAACAGCCACTTCTAACAAGCTGCCAGATCTCCAAAATGCGTCCCAGTCCTATCACCTTATCCCAAGATTTATTAAGCTTTTGCACCAGTTTCAAAAATCTCATCAAACAATGGTCCTTTCCTGGGATACTCCCTTGCATATTAGGGGTTCAGATTTTCACAGAGCTGGGGAACAGGACTGATCTGAGCTGCCCAGTACATGCTCCCCATTGTAAGCAAGCCTAGACTTTTGTTTGAATTTTTAACTCAACAAGGGGTGCATGCTTGGAATTCAGTTTTAGCCTCTCAGCCAAGTTCAGAACATCTGAACAACTCATAAATGTCACGTTTAATAATAGTAGGGGAAAACACGTGATCTATTATACTACAAATAAAAACCTGGAACCCGGGCAGAGTTCATGCACCATGAACTGCAGAACACCCTCAGCCWCACAAAGGATAATTAAGATATATTTATCTCCAAATCTGACAGCAAAGGGACACGTGCACACATTGCCTTAGAGCTCTTTTTTCCAGACCATCAGCTCAGYCCACAGCAGCCATGTGGCCAAAAGCAGCTGCATCTGGACCATAACCTGTCAGTGCAGTGAACACAGCAGAGAGTATGTGGTTAAGGTGAAATTTTGAGGAGCTGTGAGTGTGGCTCCCCGGATGAACCCCCCAAAAGGCTGCCCAGAGCACGGCTGCACGCACTCACCCTGTGCCACTTTCTCCCTTCGAGCACCCAATAATCACCTGACTTTTAACATCTCCATCTCTGGAAATGTCCAAGACCAGGCTGAACAGGGCTTAGACCAGCCTCGTCTCGTGAAAGGTGTCCCTACCCATGGCACGGGGTGGGACTGGATGGGCTTTATGGTCCCTTCCCGTCCAAACCATTCTAGGATGATTCTGTGAACATCACCTGGATCGCTTTTAAAACTACGATGGCTCCGGCCCGTTTCCCATCCCGGATCTGTGCTCGAACCACCCCCGACATCCGGCCCCAGGCCAAGGCCGGACCCCTCAATTCCCGCCCAAGGCCTGGATGCTCCCTCAGCCCTCCAGGGGCTTCCACAGCCCAGTCCCAGCCGGCCTCCCGGGATTCCTCTGGCAGTGCAGGCCGCCGCCGCCCCTCGAGCCCCGGGCCCCCACAGCCTCTCCCCAGGTGCGGGAAGCGGAGCAGGGCCGAGTYAGGCTCCCCTCAAGCCCCTCGGCCATACCCCGGCCACATCCCGGCCATAGCTGCCCCACACCTGCCCCTTACCTGCCCCTGGCTCCGGCCTGAGCGCAACCCCGCCCTGCAAGCCCCGCCCCGCCCTTCCCCGCGCGCCCATTGGTTGCGGGGCGTGACGCTCAGTGACAGACARCATCACTGGCCAATCAAAGGGCCCCCCCCCCCTCAGGACTAAGGGAATGCGGTGGCGGAGGCGGTGCGGGTGTTGGGAGTCGCGGTCTCAAGGGTGGTYGGGGGTGTTCGGCGGACATGGCCCGGGCAGCTCCCGCCTGGCTCCCCGCGCGGGGCAGCGCCGGCCTGTCCTGGGGCTGAGCCGTGGGATAATCGCGCTTCTCCCCTCACGGCCCCGTTTTCCCCTCACCCCCYCCCCCCCCCCTTCCCCTCACAGCCCGCTCTTCGGCCCGCTCTCTCCTCATGGCCTCTCTCTTTCCTTACAGACTCCGTTCCCCACTCATACCCCCTCTCCTCTCATGGCCCTGCTTTCCCCTCCCACCTGGTGCTGCTGTGTGTATCAGAAGCCCGGGCCACACTGGTGCCCTTGGTTCTGTTTTTGACTGATTTATGGTTATAGATTATATCAGTGATCCTTCAGGTTCAGAGGCTTCCGTCCTGCCATGAACCTTTTGTATTAGAGAGCGGTGACTCATAAAGCCTCGTTCTTGTGCCAAGAGGAACATTGTGCCTTTCCGAGGTCACGGGGTCTCATGTTTACCCAGAGAATGTTCATGAGATGTGGCTCTTGAAATACCTCGGGTTTGCCCCYCTTCCTGTGTCTGCACCCTTCAGGTGTGCAGATGCCCCCAGGCTTGGCTATGTCCTGGTGGCAGCTCCCAGGAGGCCCCATTCACAGCTGGAGGCATTGAGGGTCTGCTCTGCTTCTCTGGCATTTTGCTGCTTTACCTGGTGCAGATTTACCTGGTCTGTGCTGCTGGATAAAGTTAGGACCGAACTCTTTTTCAGGTAAAAAAAAAAAATCTCTTGATGTAAAAAAAAAAAGACCCAAMCCCCTGGAAACAGAATCACAGAATCAGATAGGTTGGTAAAGACCTCTGAGATCCTCGAGTGCAACCGGTGCCTGACCCCCATCTTGTTAACCCAGAACACCCTGCCACGTCCTCTAGTTCCTTGGTCATCTCTAACGATGGGGACTCCACCACTGCCCTGGACAGTCCCTTCCAAGGCCTGACCACCCTTTTCATGAAGAAATTCCCCCTGATGTCCAACCTGAACCTTCCTTGGTACAACTGGAGGCCGTTTCCTCTTGTCCTGTCCTTTGTTCTCTGTAAGCGGAGACCGACCCCCTCTGGCTCCCTCCTCCTGTCAGGAAGTTGTGCAGAGCCAGAAGGTCCCCCCTGAGCCTCCTTTTTTGCAGGCTGAGCCTTCCCTGCTCTCTCAGCCACTTCTGGGGCTCCAGACCCTTCCCCAGCTCCATTCCTGGACTCTCTCCAGCCCCTCAATGTCGTTTCTGAACCCACCTGCCATGATTCCTCAGGGGGAAGGTGTTTCCAGTCCTGACAGAGTTTGCTTCTTTGATGAAAATRAAAATGAGAATAATAAAGTGAGATACATTCAGCCAGAAATAGGTGTAGATCAGAGAGGAAATGTCAGTTTGGCAGGTAGTTCTGTCTCTCTGATAGTTTTTCAGAAGTGAAGTAAGTAACTGAGGCTGCTTGGTTTAGGGCTTGTGGAATATATAGACTATGGCGACTACCAGGCTTTAAAATGTCCCACACTGCTCCATGCCCCCGGTATGGGAATTACTGATGTAAAAGTGTTTTCATAGAGTCATAAAGTCATGGAGTGGTTTTGGTCAGGAGGGACCTCAAAGTTCATCCTGTTCCACCCTCTGCCATGGGCAGGAACACTTTCCACTATCCCAGGTTGCTCCAAGCCCCATCCAGCCTGGCCTTGGACTTTTCCAGGGATGGGGCAACTACAGCTTCTCTGSGCAGCCTGTGCCAGGGCCACCCCACCCTCAAAGGGAAGAATTTTTTCATAATATTTAATCTGAACCTACTCTTTCAGTTTGAAGTCATTCACCCTTGTCCTGTCATTGCATGTTCTTGTACACCATCTTGTAAATAATAGTCTAAGGAGTTTTCTCACCCCATTGCTGTAATGTGTAAAATCCTGGCCCTGTCATGGCTGCATTCCACCCCCCACTCACTGGAGTCTGTACAGGATAGTCGTCTAAGTCAGCTGGAATGATACAAGGAAATATTCCATAAGAATAATCCTGGGTATTAGATACACAAAGGACTTCTAATTCCTTCCTCCTACTCAAGTGTTGCTGAGCGGAAGAAGCTCTTTGGTGCTAAATCAGGGCTTTCCCTGTGCAGAACCTCGGCCCTGCCTGTTGCACACTCATTCCTGTGACATGGCTGAGTTTGTTCAGGTTTAAAAGCTCAGGGCCACAGGGATTTTCTGTTACTGACTTTCCCCAGAATGGTGAGGAGGTATTTTTATCTCCTCTGACATACTTGTCACAGCAATCTGTTCTGTGGTTTTTGCAGCTGAAAAGTCCATAGTGCTGTTTCTTGTGAGGCTGCAGAAAGCTGCATTGRCACCTGGAGGAAGCAGCCCAGACTGGTGATGAGACACTGGAAATGCCCTTGGAGGAAGAAAGGAATGGCCCAGGCAGCTGAGAGACCACATCCAGGGATCAGTTTTTAGGTGAGTGCTTCAAACACAGACGCATCCAATACAGGATAAGCTTGAAAGCTGCACTTCAGTTCAAGTTCCTTTTCCAAGA